TTTAATCATACAGGATAAATGTTGGCATCAGGATGTGGAAATAATATATAAATATGGAATTTTTAAGATAGTTAAATGAATGAATTTTGTTTATTATAAGGTCATTCTGATGTTGTAAGTTGTTTAATATTTAGTAAAAATTGTGATAGTTTGATCTCCAGTAGTTATGATAATTCAATTAGACTCTGGTAATTAACTTAAGAATAAGAATGGAAGAGTTCTCCATAATATTAAAAACATTCAGATAGAATTCTATGTTTAATATTAGATAAAGATGAAAGAACATTGATTTCAGGAAGTAATGATTCAACAATAAAGGTTTGGTCTGTTGATTTTAATGATTTCAAATTGCATTATAGTTATTCTCTGATAAAACATAAAAATAGAGTTTTTGGATTGTCATTGAATGCATCTGAAAATTATCTAGTTTCTTGTGGTGAAGATTGTTAGATAATTGTATGGGTTAAAACTTAAAATGGTATTTGGGAATTTTAATAGATTGTTAATTAATCAATTAACAAATGGGGAACTAAAATAGCCTTTATTCAAGAAAACGAATTCATTTGGCTTCCAGGTGAATAAACTGGAAATGATTGTATTTGCTTTTTTGAATTAAAGGATGGTGTTTTTCAAGAATAATAAGAAAAAGTATTAAAATTATAAGAGAATAATCAAGTGATTGATTACAGTTTGTTTCCTATTATGGTTGATAATAGAAAAAACATTATTTTGTTTAGACATAAATTACATTTTTATTTGCTAAGAAAAAGAGATCATGGAAAATATAAGATTATGGCAAAACTTTAATTTTTGCATAATTCAACTTTTGGAGCCATATCAAACGATTCAAAATTTTTACTAATTTGGGAGGATAGTCTAAATTAATCTTCGTTATATAGTATTGAGCATTTTTAAATTTGAACATGAAAATCTGTAAAAAATAATATAAATTAAAATAGATATAATAATTTTACTTAAATTCATAAACATATTCTCTTTGAGATTTCTTATACTTATAATTCAAAATTAAAATTTTTTTCTTCACTAAATTTAAAACTTAAAATATAGCATCCTCTCTTTTTTGATATGATTCAAAAAACGTAAAAATTATATTGAATCATCTTTTAATGATTAATTGAATTTATATATTTAGAAAAAATTAAAAAGATTTTTAAAGGATATTGATTATACTGGTTTTCAAACTATTTAAAATATAAAAAAAAGTATTAAACTCTTTATTTACTAGTATTACTAATTAGGATGTTATTATTTTTATTGTTTTATGAAATTGAAGGTACAAAGAACAATTAATTAGACAATTAAATTATCTTTATATCTCTGTTATGAAATCGCCTTCTTCTTACAAATTCTTTTGATTCTGTCATTTCTTTTGAAAAAAGCTTAGATTAATCAGAAATATCTTCAAAAAGTTGGATTTTCTTTAAAAATATTAATTTTCAATAAGTAATATAATCTTTATGATGCAAAACTTACCATTTTTTCAAATCCTAAATCCATTACTAATTTTTAAATATTAATTAAATTCTTTATAAATGATAAAATGATATAATAAAAAGCTAGATAATTAAAATTATGTAATGTTTATATTAATTGCATATGTTATATTGTATTAATTAAGTCAAGCAATTTATTTTAATTTACACCCATTTTAATATTCAAAAATATTAGTTTACCTCCAAAAACTGACATAATAATAACAAAATTACTTGGAAAAGTTTTCATGTATTTCTGTCCATTTTCCATTTTTAAAACCATTTTCTCTATACTCTCCTCCTCCTCTAGATATATAATTATTGAATACAGTGTTTGATAAGTATATTCGTTTAAAGGTCTAAATAGAGCATTCCATTTTCCTTGTTTGTAACCATTTTTATATTCTCCCACCAGTATAACTTAACAATTTCTAAAGATTATAAACTAAATAAATGATACTCTTAAAAATTGTCAACTAATTCCAACCATGGTCCATCTCTTTTTCCATTTTCATCATATTATCCTCCACCTCTAGATTATAATAATTTAATGTACATACAATTCATGAAAATTTAATGAATTGTGGTGTTTATATACGAAATTCCATTTTCCATACATTATACCATTTTTATAATTACCTTTTTACATAACTTAAGAATTTCTATAATATTAAATTATTATTTTTACTCCCTATAATTTTCTACTAAATCTAGCCATCTTCCATTTTTCATTCCTTCATAATTATAAAAACCTAAAGCCCTTTTATTTTTATAAAATATTTACATATATTAGGTGAATCCTTCAGAAATATCATCAATAGTAAACCAGATTCCAACTTTATTTCCATTTTAATAAACACCTTAATATAAGATTGATTTTGATCTATTTTACTAATATCAACTATATATACAATGAGTAATTTTCATCTACATCAATCCAATTTCCATGTTTTTAACCTTCGTAATTATATTATCCACCACCTCTACAGAATAAATTTTATAATTACATTAAGTAATTCTTATAAATAATATTCCATTTCCCTATTTTCTTTCCTTTGTAATATTCTCCAGCATGATATATTAAACTTTCACTAATTATTAATTATATTTATATTTACTCCCAAAAATTTGTAGCTTATTCTTTCCAAACTCCTACTTTTTTATCTTCTTCATAATATCCTGATCCTCTTAAGATATTTCATTTATTTATTTTACATTATTTCGATATCTTCCTCTCCATACTTTCTATATTAGATCTACCATTATCCTATTTTTAAATTATCTTAATATAATCCTTCATAAACAACAACTGAAAATCTTTAAATTTTATCAACTTATATACTCTTAAAAATTTTAATGTAATTCTCTCCACATCCCATTTTTCAATTCAAAATCATCATAATTACCTCCTCCAATAACTTCATATTATATTGATCCCAATTTTAAATGTAATGTATCCCATCTACCATATTTTCTTCCATTTTCATATTAACCAACATATAATACTTAACAAAAACTAACAATTTGTAATAATATCATACTTAAAAAAATATTCATGTGTTTCAATCCATTTCCCATGTTTTAATCCATTTTCATTATAGATTCCTCCACCACTATCAATTATTCTATCATAATACATTTATTTATATCTATTAATAATATTCCAAAATCCTATTCTCTAACCTAATTTATATTCACCAACAAAATATACTTCACATAAACTTACAAATATTATATAAATAACTCTACTCATAAAAATTATTATGCTATTCCTTCCATTTTCCATTCTTTAATCCATTTTCATCATAATTACCCCCTCCTCTTGCTATCATTTACTAATTTATACATTTTCTTTTCTAAATTTATTATATTCCACCTCCCTTACTTTTTCCCTTCTTCATATTATCCTTCAATGAAAATTTAGGATTTTCTATTACTAATCAAATTCGTTTTACTCCCAAAAATTATTGGATAACTCAATCCATCTTCCTAATTTCTACTCATTATCATTATAAAATCCTCCTGCCTTAATTCTTTATTATTTCCAAAACATCATTAATTATCCTATCTTCCCATTATTTTAATTAACTTCTCTTTTCTAAGTTAAATGTTTCACTAATTCTAAGTTTGTATCGGTTTCATTATTCGATAATTAATGAGGTATTTACTCTCTAAATTCATTTATTTATTTCAAATATTACAATTGCATTACTCTACCATTCTAAATATATATCGAAAATTCATTTTCAATCTGATTAATTTAATAGGTAGTCCTTTACCTTTTCCAACCACAAATGTTTTAATGATGACATTGTACTCCATTTTATATGTTATGAGTCTTTAACATTTAACTTAATAAATATCACAAAAATAATTATTATTTAAACTAGCTATTCATATTTATATTTTCCTCTATATTAATTCTCTTTTTCAATAATTATTAAAATTACTTTTAGTATTTTTACAAGATTGGAATTCTCATTAGTAATGTATTCAAAATACAACTAATAAACATTTTAACCAAAATAAAGAAATTAATTTGATAATTTATATTTTCAATTATTTTTATAAGTAATTTTAAAAAAAAGACATTATGGCATAATTCATATGTTATCGAAAAAAATTGAGATTTTGTTATTTTTGAATCCGATTGGATATCACAAGATAATAATAACAAACAAATGCTATTTACATTTATTAAGTTTTATTTAATCATTCAAATTCCTCCTTTATTAAACATTTTACCATTACATTTAATTAAGTTGCATAGGGAGGAAGAAATATATGTGTCACAAATTCAAACTCTTTTCCTGTATATGCACAGAAGCACTATCAAATATTAAAAATAGTTTCTTCTACCATGTTTCTAATACCATTCTTATTAAAAAAAATTTTGTATTATTGCAGTATCGATGTTGCTTTTTCGCATTAATATACTAATGAATCTTTTTATGAGCCAACTTTAAAACTTTTACCTTTTTTTTTATTGAAACCAAATAATTAAAAAATTGATTAAAAAAAAATTTTTAGTTACTTTTTTATTGTGGAAAAAACAATATAAATTTTAAATCATTATATGAAACAATTTTCAGTTATATAGATTATTTTTGTATAATTATGATTTAATTAAATAAAATAATTTATTAGTATAATCTAAGATTACAAATTTCTTCAAAAATTATTAATTTTACTTTCCCAAAGTTTTACTTCAACAAAGCAAAATTTAAATACAATCTAATATAAAAACAAGATTAATTGATCATTTTATCAAACTTATTGAACATCCTGCATAATAACATTTGGATAATTTATATATTTTTAGATTATCAGTATTAATTTAAATTCTAATTTATCTTCTAAATAGTCGAACAAAGTCAAAATTCTACTGAGCTATATCTTAAAGATTATATTCAAGTTTAAAAAAACTATCAAATCCTTTAATGTTTGGATTATGTTGTATTAAAACTCATAAATCTATTGCACAATGCAATTAATATTATTTAATTCAAAGTTTTTATTAACTTGCTATCAAAGAATTATTGAAGCACAAAACATAAGATTTCCAAATAACCTCTAGATGTAAATAAGGTTAATGGAAATCCCATAAAAAATCATACAGCCTTAAGTTGCCTAGCCTTTAGTTTAATTATTTGGAATGAATTTATCAGCCATACTATAGCAGATGAAGTTTATTTTGATATTGTTAAGTAGATCAGTAATTTTGGTAAAAATAGTTTTAAACATAAAGCCTCATTTCAAAGATTGTGAAAATTCTCTAAATATTTTTGTAGCCTTATTTTGGGTTTCTACATTTTTTCATTTCATTTATATTTTTATATATTTGATAAATTAATGATTTAACAATTAGAAGAATTATTTTCAGAAACACCTTAATATAACTAATTGTATTGGATATTAGGTCAATATAATAATACCTATGTCATTGGTCCAAATGGAGTAGGTAAAACAACAGCTGTACATTTTTGTTTAGATAAATTGAAAATACCTCATAAAAGAATTAATATGATGTAGGTAGAAATGATTAGTATTATTTAGTGTTTGACAAAATAAAGTTTACTACAAGCTATTGTTAACGAAATTAGTGAATTATGGAATTAGGAATTAACTAAGATAAGCAAGTTTAGTGAACTAATTATCAGATTGAACTCTATCATATCTACATCAAATTAGA